CCATAAGTTTAATAAATTATTACGTCAGAGTGCTCAAGCTGGAGCCGGGAGACTTGAAAGCTATAGACCACAATATAAAGTAAACGTATTTGAAAGTGAAATTTAAATGACAACCAGGGAGAGAACAAAGAACAAGAATCTATGAAAATGCTTTGAAGATTGCAGCCCTTCATAGTTTTTCATTTTCTTCATGATATCATTCCAGCAAACTTCGAAGTTATGCACAAATGGATGCTAAGTAAAGATGAAAGGAAGTGAGATGTAAAAACAATCTCTCATTTACTTTTACTTCCTCGATAGTGCTTCGATCTCGAGGATTAGCCACAAGCATTCTGCTAATTGCAAGCTGTGCAGGTGTACTCAGATAATCAGGTAGAGAATAAATACCTCTCAAGACACAATCTGTCAGATCAACTATTGTCTCTCCACGGAATGGTGTATTTCCAGCAAGCATGAAGTAAAGCAAAATACCTATGGCCCAAATATCCACGCTCTTTCCTAAAATTTTTCACTATTTACATCTTTTTCTAACAAAATTTGATTGCTTTTAATTTTTACAGACAGTTTAGCTTTCAAAACAAGAAATAAGCATTAACGAGCATTAATTCGTACGCTGCGTAAAGTTTTTCCAAAAACCAAATAAATTTTTGTTGGAGCTGACCATTTGTGTAATTGAGTATATACATTACTTTGCCCCATTTTCATCATTGATCATTACCGAAGCGCTGAGTAAATGCAGAATTAAATGAGTAACTAGTATAAATTTCCGATTTGGTCTTATTCAGCCTTTAGAGAATTCATTTGTTTCTGCCTTAATGCAATAACTATTCGCTTCTGCAATGCAAATTTTATCAGTTCTGCTGATCTTTTATCTCCTGTCGTAATCTTTTCCTGAATAGATATGATAGATCAGCTTCTGTTGAGACCATCAGCAGCCAAATGTTTGTGTACCTCTTCACTAATTTGTTCTACCTGCTCAGATGCGCTTTCTTGCGCATATTCTAGGTTTTACCGAGTGGTGAGCAGTTGACTCTGATGTCGATTTGTGAGCGGCTGTGTTCAAAAGACATAAAATGGGATGTAAAATGGAAAAGTCCACAGCTCGAATCATAAATGAAAACAGTGGAGAAACAAATGCAATTGGAAAAAGCTATGTGAAGGATGTGAGAGAACACTTTGCCAGAGCACCAGAACGCCGTGCCAGCAGGATTTATCACGCTTGATGCACTCGTTCGTGGAGTTGAAATTTCACAAGCAGCTCGCTAAAAAGGGTGCTGAAAGCGGTCCTTGACCGTTCTGAAAGAATGCTGATAGAAGGATGGCCGTTGTGTCGTTCCCTAGAACGGCAAGAAGTTTTTGTGTGCTGTTATACCCTAAAAGTGCTGAATAAGAAAGCAAACTCTGTGATCAATAGCATCTCAGGTCGCCCGTACTCACAGGAACGGTTTTTGTAAGAGTCAATGAAGCGTGTCATATAATAAGATAAGTGTTTCGAACAAAACTCGCTTCAGGAGCCTAAGGCTTATCTTAATGTAAAGAACGACGGGTGTTGCAAGATAGCTCCAGACAGCAGAACAATATTATGAAGACATGACGAGGCGAGAGAAGAAGACATCGGGGTGGAAAGCAAGCATAGTAAAGAAGATAAGCTTGCTGAATTTCCACAAATCCCTCATAGAACGGATTTTGGACGATGAAAAACTTGGAGGTAAAGACTGAAAAGAAGTGTATGAGGAAGATGAATCTCATACTTGCTCTTAAACGTGACTTTCATGAAGCGTTAAGCATACTGATAGACCATGTGAGAGTTTACGAACGTAAAATAAAAAGTTATGAGACACGATGTGCATTTAGAATACAAAACGCCAGATTTGAGCTGTTCAGAAGACGGTCTTATATGAGTGGTATGCGAAGGAGATCGGTATATATGATCACGTCGCGGCACATATTCATTCAATCGTGCTTAAGAAGACGCTTGAAAGCATCTTATTCGATCACCTCCGTGAAACTGACAAGGACGAAGCGAGAAAGATCAGCACAACAAATTTGAGAGCGGAACATGTACAGCCAGAGTGCTGGAATACGATCCACTGCCAGAATTAATAAAGCGAGAAAGATCTTTACTTATATTTATGGTTTTTTCAATATTTATATTTGTTCATATCTATTTACATCTACAGTTATTCGCTTATTTTGTCCATCTGTCGGTCACCAGAAGTTCATGTCATCTATTATTTTCAATGTGCATATTTCTTCAGCTTTCTACAGTTTAAGCAGAATTTAATGCTCCTTCAAAATCGAAGTTTCTACGAATAAATTATTAAAATATACCAAAATATTTTTTTTTGTTGAAAAGTTCAGGTGCAGCATATGCCGGTGAACCACAAAATGTCGATAAGAATTTGTTTGGAATAACTTTGCAGGCAAAGCCAAAGTCGGTTAGTTTGACCCATCCTGGTTTTGAAATGATCACATTTTCTGCTTTAATATCGCGATGAACAATGTCTTTTGAATGCTGAATTTTTTTTTTTTTGTATGCATTTTAAAGATTTTCAATAATAATTGTTCTTAAGTTGCAGAATTCAACCAGATAAAGAATGTATTGAAAATTAAGTTTTTATTTCAGCAATTTTTTCGCTCGATAAACCGAAAAAAGTTTGAAAAAACCATGTGAAAAACAGCCGAGACAATTTGGGCAAATAGAGATTTGCATTCATCTTCCTGAAGTTTGCCTTTATCATGAACGTAAGTATACAATTCGCCACCACCCGCATATTCCATTACGAGGTAAGTTCGTGATATTGTTTGCAAGCACTATTATCAATTAAATTATGAAAAATTTTCCTTCTAATTTAGCTACATTTTTTTCGCACTGATCATTTTAACAGTTTCTCTCATCACTTAAAATGTAATATTTGCCTACTTCAGCATACCATTTTTTGAATGTCAAATAACATTATTGAAAACAAATTAGACTGATTAACAATATGTTTATTAGTGGTTGTGCTAAATTTTATTAAAATTTGGTTAAAGGATTACTTCAAAAAATCGAATAATATTTGGGTGGTGAAGGAGCTCCATCGTTGTTATCTCACGAGCTAAAAGTTTCTGTGCCTTTTGGTCCATTTTCATTTTGTCCACAATTTTCATTGCTACCATTTCTAGATTTAAGTTTAGCATTATTACAACTTTGGTATTTCTTGAACCATGTTATCTGCCGTTTCTTTGTTCTTCTCTCGTCAACTGTTTTGGATTGCACGATTTTTGTAAAATATGACCGAAAATGTGAAGTATTGAAGAATATACCATTAGTCAAACAGTGAATCCCAATTTTAACTTTCGAAAAGCTTCCGGAACCAAGCTGTTGACCAATTTTGTAAAAACCTACACGTTTGCCAAGTGATATTTCCTTAATAAATAATTGAAAATAACTAATTTGCATTTCACACTGAATCGAAAAATATTTTAGGCTGCATTATCACTCATAAAACACATAGTAAAACCATACAACGTTTTTAAAATGATGTATTTTTGTATAATTATGATGATTTCATTATTAATACCTTATGTAGAGCTGAATCATTAGCCAAACTGTCAAGCATCTGTTGGTAGGAGTTTTTTACAGAAAAGTCTTGATAATCCAATGGTAAAGACTGAAAGTATTCAAACTGTGACAATCGTCCTTTTTATTATTTCGTTTATAAGCATTCTTTGTCAGTTTCTAAGCAATAATTATTAGCGAAATCAAATTACTTTGTAATATAATTAAGAAAAGAAACTAAACTTCATGTAAGCAAATAAATAAAATGTAAATTCGCAAAATATTGCATTTCGATTGTTTTTTCTGAAAAATTTGGACTACGACTGGCTGTTAGTGATTAAGATTCATATTAGAAACAAAGAAACTAGGTAAGTTTGAAGCATTCGAGCCATTAAATCAGTGCAAGTGAATGAAATTCATTCCAAAAAATGGGATATCTACAAAAAACAATTTCTTGAATAAATAAGAAACAATTTCTATTTATTTGTCAGACGTCAATTCACCAAACATTGTTTTGTCTTATTTTGCTTTCGAATAGAAGATTTAAAAATTAAAATTCATTGACAACGTAAATATTTTGCAGTTTGAGTACTATATTTTTCCATATACAGAGCAGGTAATATTAAAACTTACATAAACCAAATTAGTTGATGCTGATTTTTCATTTGTAACTGGTAACGGTGTATTCGGAAATTCGCATGCCCAATCACTTTTATTGCCAGAAAAGAAATTTGTTGATTTCCGAGGTAAGTTATGTGAGTGAACAGGCCTTGTCATGCACACAATAATAACATTACTTTACCTTTAAAACCTGTCGTGTAAAAGATATTCTCCCCATTAAAAAAGGAACAACTGTTGAATTCCATATATACGGAATAAATTTATTTGAAAACTACTGTTATGCAAGTGGCAAGTGCGAAAGTCCAGAAAGGTAGTTTTGAACTTCGCGTTTATAATTTGAACACTATGATGACAAATTGAGCTGCTACAACATTTGAAAATACGTGAATGGTTAATGGTCATTATCGGATCGCTGCTAATCATGCAGGCAATTTTATTTTTCAATGCATGAACAAATGGACAATAGGCGAAAAAAGGAGTCTTTCTGAATGACAAGCAATAAAAATATGAACTCATAAATCTGAAATACGAATTAGGTATATAAGGCATATTCAAAAAAATTAATGCATTCAATGAAAAAAAATTGTTTTAATTGATTCTTTCTTATGAAGTTATATATTCACATTCAATATGGATCGAAAATCATGCGTTTTCGAATTCAAAACATTTCATATGAAGAATGAAATTCAAATGAATCTATTGATAGTTTCCGTTTGCTTCTTGAAAGAATAATTTTACACAGTTACACTGTTTAAGAAGTCAATGCAGATCACTGCATATCTCTAGAACAAAGTCTATCAGTTTCTTTTAGTTCTTTTACTGCTAGCATACCAATTTTTGGCAACGAAAAACTGTAATGGTAAGGAACAAAGAGACTATACAAATCGTTTAGTCGTTTTATTCATCCCTCCAAAGTAAATTCGCTCAAAATACTACATATAATTAATTACTCAGGTGCTTTCTCATTGTCTCCAATCTTGCAGCTCATTTCTCAGTTTTCGCAGACATCAAAATTTTTACCAAATAGATCAAATCATCAGCTGTTGGCAAAAATAATAATTGTAATAATAATAATAATTATTATTGTTAATAATGATAATTCTGAAGCAGGAAAAAGTAACACGTACTTTAATTATTTAGAAAGGAGACTAGGTACAACTTCACAGAAAATCCAACCGTTGAAAACGTATTAGCAAGCCAGAAGGCAATCTTGTATAGTGAAATAGAAAAGAAAATTCGACAAGCAAAGCTATTCAAGATGCGGACGAATAAAATCTCGTCCATAGTTGATTCATCAAAATGGCGGAAATATTACCCCACAGGATACTGTCACCTACAAGACAGAAATATATTTGGAGCTGAGATAGGTATGTGCCAACATTGAAAGCAACGTGTGAAGACGGTGGACCGTCTAGCAATATATCATTACTATGCTAGAAGAGACAATGAAGTCGTGCGATTTATTCGTTTAGGACTCTGCAAAAAGTATGGTCTAAAAGCC